GGAAGCAAGGGCCAGGCCCCGCCCCTTACATCTGAGGCTCCGCCCCTTCCAGATGCAGAGCTCCTCTCCCCCCACTTTGCCCCAGGGCCTGCAGTGGGGTCTGAGCACAGGGTGAATTCCCCCAGGCTGTGCCCAGCACTCCTACCCGCAGGATCACACTGGTGGGGAGGAGGGAGCAGGAAGCCAAGGGGAGCTGCTCGTGTTCAACATTTGCCACGAGTCACATTTTCACGAGTCACGTTTTCAACAGGCGGAGCCCAAGCCGGACTCTGACGTCCACCAGGGACAGATCCCGACAGCAGTTCCCACCTTCCTCAGGGGATGCCCCCCACCACGTGCCCCATGGCACCAGCCTGCAGCCCTGCACTGTGGGGGCCTGGCCGGACCTCCCGCCTTCCACCCCCTCTCCTGGGAGGGGAGCGCCCCAAGCCTGAAGCGAGGGCGGGCTGACCACGTCCCAGGGAACACCGGCCTGCCAGGGAGTGCCCCTGCGGCCCGCTCCTGGCACCCCTAGCGCCGGGCCATGAGGCAGCGCCATTCGTTTGAAAAGGAGGTTTCCGAGTCTTAGGAGAAAGGAGGTGGCGGACTCCCGCCTTCCACCCCCTCTCCTGGGAGGGGAGCGCCCCAAGCCTGAAGCGAGGGCGGGCTGACCACGTCCCAGGGAACACCGGCCTGCCAGGGAGTGCCCCTGCGGCCCGCTCCTGGCACCCCTAGCGCCGGGCCATGAGGCAGCGCCATTCGTTTGAAAAGGAGGTTTCCGAGTCTTAGGAGAAAGGAGGTGGCGGAGAGCCAAGCCATCTGCCTCGTGCCTGCTGGTAGCAGAGGAACGAAACGGGCCATCATGCTGCAGGAATGAAACTGGCGGGAGTCCCCCGACCCCATCCGAGAACGACAAGCAGGGAACGCGTCAGCGCCCATAGCCTGCAACTGGCAGCCAGAGATCAGGCCAGCCCAGAGCCCACCCCACTGACCTGCTGCTCATTCCAGCCGAGTCCAGCCCAGGGCTACAGGGACTTGGCATCAGATAGGCGTTCCCTTTCCTTTGTTGCTTTCCAGCCTGGGGGTTGCTCCCCCTCCCCTGAGCTTCCTAGCACTGTTTGACATATACAAAATAGGCAGCAGGTTTAAAACAAACCAAAGGAAGTATTTCGGCACAATCAACCTGTGGAACTCCTTGCCACAGGATGCTGTAAAGACCAAGACTTCAATAGGGTTCAAACGAGAGCTAGATAAATGCATGGAGGATAGGTCCATCGATGGATATTAGCCAAGGAATGGTGTTTCTGGCCTCTGTTTGTCAGAGGCTGGGACTGGATGACAGGGAGGGATCACTGGATGGTTCCCTGTTCGGTTCACTCTCTCTGGGGCACCTGGTGCTGGCCACTGTCAGAAGACAGGATCCTGGGCTAGAGGGACCTTTGGTCCGACCCAGTGCATGATTGTTCTTATGTTCTTATTTTGCATTCACAGGGTTTTTTTGCTGTTGACAAAAGTTTGGCCTTTTTCCCGAATCAAAATGTTGGGGGGAAATGTTCAGTTTTCTTCAGCAGAGCAAGTGAGAACAACGGAGCATTTGTGGCTTTTTGGGTGAGAAACTGAAACATTTTTATTGCTTGAAAAATGACAACCAAGCCCCCTCCTCGGATGTTTTGTTTCTTCCTCAGACTCTCCTGGAAAACATCCGTCCTCTCCCCACGGGTTCTAGTTGTTTCCGTATTGGAGGGCGGATTGTCTTGTCGTGACAGTGGGAGGTGAAGGGCAGGCGCTGGCAGCCAGGACTCCTGAGTTCTCTGCATTTGACCTTGGCCAAGTCACCCACTTCTTTGTGCCTCAGTTTCCCCCCGTGAGGCTAGCCACACTTCCTTTCCCACCCCCAGGAGCACTTTGAGCAGGAAGCTGATGGAAGGGCCGGTGCTTTGCATCCATGGAAGGAGCAGAAGTGCCCGTCCCCGCAGGAGGGCAATGACTCTCCACAGCACTGAGCCGGGCACCCGGAAGCGCCTCGCTACTATTGTGGGTCGTGTCCAATCCCGTGCGTACGGCTGGGAGGGTGCCCCGTGGGCCACAGCTGGATGCTGAACGGCCTGCGGGCTGCAGGTTGAGAACTGTTGGCCCACGGGGGGGGGGGGGGGGGGAGAGA